AAAATAAAAACATGGAGCATGGCAGTATGATAGAAGTTATATTATTGGATCAGAGTGTAGTTTATTCAGGGAAGGCCTGTCTAAATAGCCACGTTTTTAGTAGCTTTTTGAATGTGCCCACTGAAGAAGCCAGGCAGGCTTTGGGTGGAAGAGAGTTCCATAATTGTGGCGCTACCACCGAGAAGACTTGATTTCTGGTGGCTGTTTTTCCGGACCTCTCTTGGGGTCAGAACTCTCAGCCGCCCTGCCTGCGATGATCTTATAGGACAGGCAGACCTACGGTAAGTGGAAGGAGGCGCTCACCCAGATAGCAAGATCCCGGATTGTTTAGGGCAATGTTGAGAACCTATGGCACATGTGCCACAGCTGGCGTGCAGAGTTCTTTCTGCGGGCACGTGAGCCATAAGTCGCTGGATCACTACTCACCCCTCTGCAGCCAAACCTGGGGGCCAGGATTTGGAGCAGCTGGCACTGGTGATGGATCCAGACTGGGGTCTCAAGGCACCTCCATGCCTGGGATTCCCCCTTCCGCACCACTTCTGGTACTGCCACTTCCGGTTCTGCTGCCATGGCCTGCCGCCTTCAGTCCCCCCCTCCCGTCTTGACACTCAGGCCCAAACAGGTACGGCACCACTGGTTTAGGGCCTTATAGGTTAGTACCATCACCTTGAAACTGGTATGGAAGCAAACAGGTAGCCAGTGTAGAGTGGCCAGGGTGGGGAAGATATGTTGGTATTTTCTAACCCCACTGAGAAGTCTGGCCGCCACATTCTGGACGTGTTGCAGTCTCTGTAGCAGTCCCAAGGGCAGCCCCACGTAGAGGGCATTACTGTAGTCTAATCTCGAGACTACCAGCACATGGACCAGCATGGTGAGGGATCCACTGTCAAGATAGGGACGTAGCTGGGCAATCTGCTTTAGTTAGAAATAAGTGGATCGGACCACAGACGCAACCTGAGATGTCATTTATGGCGATGGTCCAAAATCACGCCCAGGCTACGAATCTCATCCTTCATGGAAAGAGTGCCCCCCCCAAAAGATAGGGAAGCATCCAGACCACAGACACTAGGGGCCCCCACCCACAGGATTTCCGTCTTGTCCTAGTTCAGCCTCAGTCTGTTGTTCTTCATCCATCCCAGCACCTCATCCATTGTCTTGCTCTGCAGCAAGATACCCAATCCAAATTGTTATCCTGCAAATGCTGGGCTTTCTATGTCAGATATTAAGAGAGTTGCTTCTTTGGTGTTAATGTAGAACCAAAATATGTTGATATTCACAGAATCATAGAATAATGGAGTTGGAAGGGGCCTACAGGGTTATTGACTCCAAGCCGCTGCTCAGTCCAGGAATCCAAATCAAAGTAGATTTGACAGATGGCTGTTGATTTTCTCTTGAATATTAACATACCTTGATCCCTGCTTGTAATTTTATGCAAGATGGCTTAATAAAACACAGTGGCTTTTACTCCCATCTCACTTCATAGTAAACAGCCAAGATACACACATTGAAACCATAGTTTTAGGATTATTGGTTTCCTAGTGTTTCTATGAGCTATTCAACACTATTCTTGTGGCTTTTTATCCTTCAGTTGTTTGCCAGCTAGTGATTCATTTCGCAGTGATGTTGGAAAAGTTGTAGAAAATTTAAATCCTCCTCAACTCCATTGTGTTGTAGACAGAGCGGTAGAGAAAGAAGATAAACGGGTAAGATGCCTTTTGTACTGCTAGAACTTTTTGAAATGAAGGAGCTAAATAAAGATTTAAGGGAGGGAGAATAATCTTATATTGAACACTTGCACTGCTCTTGCTTGTTTTAGTTTGATGTTTGTAGAACTTGTTCCTAATTCTGTGTTTCCTTTACTTTCTATGGTTTTTTGTACATTGTCAAATGGTATGTTGTTAATAGGAGGCATAAAAATAAATCGAAGCTGCCTCATATGGAGTTACAGAATTCTACTGTAATATTGTCTCTGCTTACTGTCAGTCTGTCTCTTAAGCAATCATGACTCTTTCCAAACCGTAATACCTAACATGCTTTAGAGATGTTAAATATGGCAGAATAAAAACATTATTCAGGAATATGGGAATACAACTAATCAAAACTCCATTTTAATACCAGTCAAGATATAGTAACTGAACAGATGAATTTAAAGGTGGACAGAAGCATCCGGTGTGGAAAAATTACAGATTTTTATGAAGCCAACTGAAGACTGTCGGTGTGACCTCAGTTGCACAAATAGGCGTGGCATAAGCCACATAAGTCTGGGATTCTTATGAGCAGGTTTGTGCTATGTTGCCCCTTGATCCTGAGATTGTTTTGATGCCTCTTTTATTTTGCAGTTATTAATTTGCCCTCCTGTTACCCGATTCTTCTATGGTCGTAGGGAGTGTTTTCATAAACTGTTGATCCAAGGAGACTCCTCAGGGAGGCTTAGCATTTGGAGTATACCAGACACACTCGATCAGCAAAATGTGACAGAAGGTAGGTGCTTTGCAATTAGTTTATTTGCGCAATGTAGCATAAATAGCCTTTTGTCTTCTACAAAACCCAACATACCCTTTGATAATCATTGCCACCATTCCTGCTTCTGTATAATAAAACTTTTTCCTGTGTTATTTCTTCTGCCCTTACCATTTCACTTCCCAAACAAGTAAGAAACACCAAGCTCTGAAAATGTTAGTGCCTTTCTTAGGAGAAACTAAAAATCTGATTACCAACTGTATACTACAAGATTTCAGCCTCCGTCTCAGGACTTCACTTTGAGTCAGATCCAACAGCTAGTGGCATTATCTGGCCAGGATGATTTGCAAACTAAATAAGATTCAAAGAATGAAACCTCACCTCCTCTTTTGTTTTAGTAAAGGTGTTACCCATGTTGTTTTTCGATTTTATACAAGCACCACAAGGTTGTTGGTGTTCTTCTGTGTTAAACCCCCACACACCTTATGGCATATTTTAAAACTGAGGAATTTCTTTTGTCGAGAATGCAAGTGCTTGTTTGCGTATGACTATACAGATATGGAGATTTACAAGGGGAGAGTAATGAGTAAGAAAGTCATCCTGGAGCCAAGATATGCTGCAAGTTTCCTTTATTTGAAATTGAGATGAAACTTCATGAATTTGAACTAGTTGAACTTTATTCTAGTAAGCATTTTTATGTGCCTTACAACTGGGTTTGAAATTAGGAAAAAAAGGATTTGAAAGACTCTTGCAGAGTGTGAGTGGCATACAAGTAAATTAGGGGGAAAAAGGATTTGAAAGACTCTTGCAGAGTGTGAGTGGCATACAAGCTGAATTAAATAAATAAATAAATAAATAAATTAACCACAATAACCCCCAACTCTCATTAAGGTAATCTGGACTAGAACTGTGGACTATAAATTTGGTAAATTTTGTTACAATTTTAATTAGAGTACTTTGCAAAAACCTCTTAGATTCCAGTGACCAGCAATGACATTTAAAATAAATCAACAAAAAGTAGAGGTGGGGGGAGGGGAGAAAACTGAGGAGCTGGAATCCATACGTACTTAGAAACGTAACAGTGGGATCCAAACCTTCAAGTTTGTTTCTCATCCTAATTATAGAATAGGATAGGGTTCTGTCATGTTATGCTTTGGTTTCTGTGTTACTGTTGTCCATCCATGTATTTTAAACCAGTTGTGGTTTCCAAACATTTTTGGACTGCAGCTGCCATAGCCCTTCACCTTTAGCTGCTCCCTCTTCTAGTGCCTATGGGAGATATATGCAAAAACAGATGCATTAAAAAAATTCTGCTGGACCCCAGTTCCCCACTCCTGCTTTGAAAACAGACAAACGTTAAATTTTATTTATTTATTTATTTGATTTGTATCCCGTTTATCTGGGCCACCGGCCCACTCTAGGCAACTTCCAACACAAAATAAAACAATAAACCGTAAAATATACATAATCATGGCAGCTTCCAACACAAAATAAAACAATAAACTGCAAAATATACATAATCATTCAATAACAGTTATAATAAATAAAATAGAAAAGGGTTAAAAGAAAAGTCAGGAATTAGCTGGAGGGAAGGCCTGGGTATAGAGCCAAGTTTTTAATTGGGTTTTAAAGGTACCTGGTGTAGGGGCCGCGCGAATCACCGAAGGGAGGTTATTTCAGAGGCGAGAAGATAGAATATACTATATCAAGAGTCTCTGTGTGTCTCCACACCTTGGCTTTCCGTGAAGAACAGTATTTATGAATGTGGTCAGAGACTTTTCTGTTGTGATTTCTCAAAAAACATGAAAATAAGCTTACAGAAGATGCCAGTCCACAAATATTTTTGCAGTCTTCTGCATTCATGTACAGATGTAGTACTTTGTAGCCTAAAAGAAGGGAGAAATTGTTATGATATCTTTGATTTAAAGCACAATGTTATGTTGTGTCCCCCAAAGTGTGTTAATCTCGATTGTGTGTCAACCCATTGTCCTCTTCACTCAAAATAAGGCACCGTGATTTGCACTTTTAATACTCTTACTTCCAAGTACCCTCAAGAGGTGTGCTCTACCTTTTGATTTTTTTTAAATAAACAAAACTTAACTGATGCTAATCTTATTTAAAAACTGAAAGACCTCTTTCCATCAAATATGGGTCAGTGGAACTGAACTAGTAGAAACTTAACTATGGACAGCTGTGTGTTGCAGATCTGTTTGTAAGTATTGGCACTGTCAAAACCTGTGTTTGATCTTAGTTCTTTCTCACCCTTAACAATGTGCTGTGGAGGGAGTGGAGTGGCTGATGGGATTACGTATTTATGTGGGCTGGAAGGTAAGGTACAGAACAAGTGTATCAATGTGTCAAGGAGTAAGGAGAGAGGTTAATGTATGGTCTGAAAGCCCTAACTTTAAAAGTAATGTTTCAGATGTTTTTTTTTTTTTTGCTTCAAATAGCTTTCTTTCTCTGTTTTTGGAATTCCCCTGCTTTTTAAAGCACAAGAAGACAAGGACATCACGGAAAAAGAAAGTCGGGCCAGTATCCAGGGATGGGGGTTCACAAATTGCACTGTGCTCCCTCTTAACCTGTGCAGTGGCAATCCCCAGAGGCAGCAGGCCCTACGTCCCTTCCAGGAGCTGGCTGCTGCCTCCACTCAGCTGGGCATCAGCTGAGTGGGTGGAGGTTGTATCCAGGTCCCGGAAGGGAAGCCCAGCCTGCTGCCTCTGAGGGTTGCAGCTGCGGGAGGAACAGATTAGGGAGGCACGGTGGTGGTGGTGGGCATGGTGGTGGTGAGGAGCAGGAGCAGCGGAGGAGGAGTGGGGCCTAAGAGCTTGGGACTTGGGCCCCGAGACTCAGACTCTTTACTCAGTTGGTAAGACTTGCCAGGATCCCCGCCAGTATCCTATGCAGTTTCTGCTAAGCAGGAAAGTCCTGTCTGCACACAGCATTCTGCTTAAGCAAGCTTTGCCATTGCAGAAGTGGTGATCTCTGTGAAGAAGACCTGCCCTCTGCTTTCACAATGGCAATTGATTGCACAAGCCTATGGTACCATGTTGCTAGGTTGACAGGACTTCCCACATGGTGGACACTCAGTAGCACATTGGCCCTTGTCTTTACTGAGAAATTTAAGGTAAGAAAACATAGAAGAATTTGTAGAAATAAGCAAAGGCATTAGTCAACAGCAAGGGAGCACTTTGAACTCACTAGCTTCTCCCAAACGATTCTGGCTAGAGCTTTAAGGAAACTGCAAACAACATTACTATTTAAGAAACATCCTACATGAAACTAGGTATACTTACAGAACTCCCCCTCCCTGCCCTTCCCCCGAACAACTGCTGTGGTGCTAACTCTTTTTCCCCAGAAGAAACGTGTACCATGATTCAAAAGGGGAGAACCCAGCAAGGATTGTTTAGAAAACCCCATACAGTAATTGTCACTCTCGATGGTCTATCTGGTAAAAAGTACGATGAGAATGTGACAAGATCGGTGAATAGAACAGTAACATCTGTGCATAATCATCTTGGGAAAGTATGCAGAAAGAAAAAAAAATTATACAGGAGAAAACAAGAAACTCTCCACTGTAACTATATACTGTATATATAACATTAGTCTCTCTGCAGATTTTTTTCCTCTGAGCATTATTTTTCCCCCTTCCCCAAATAAGGATTGAAAGTGACTACATCTACTTCTCTACAAGAAGCATTTGATAAACTGGTACCCCGCCCTGCTGGAATTATAGATCAGTTGAGCTTCTTACCAAATAATGATGACCCACTTAAAGTAACAGCAAGTGTCTATATTCCGGCCCATGGACGCCTGGTTTGTGGCCGTGAAGATGGAAGCATTGTCATTGTACCAGCAACTCAGACCGCGATAGTTCAGTTGTTGCAAGATGAACATGTGAGAAGAAGAGGTAGGTAAAAGGAACTCGTGATGATTGAAGCCGACACGATCATTTGTATTCATGTCACTGATACTTGAAAAATATGTCTGAGAACCTCGGGCCTTGAGTGTTTGCTTACCTGCATGGTTGAACAAAGATTAGAGAAGCCTGGGCTTCATTGTTTCATTAAAGCAGCACTTGTTCTTTCTGTTTATATGCCAGCCTTCCTCATGGTGGTATAGAGGCTTCGCCTTTCTTTATTTTACCTTCCTGAGAACATTCTGGAGTAGAGTAGGCTGAGAAAGTGGCTCGATCAATGAGAATATGTACCTCGATTTCCATAGTCCCACTCATTCATTCTACATTGTACGCTGCCATGCCTTCTAGGTGATAAGTTCCTTATGCATATTCACACTTCCCTACAATTATAGCCAATCCACAAAGCTGCTTGGACACACTGTGAGAGGGCACTGGGGGTGGACTAAGGGTAGACCAGAGATTCAACCTGCAGGAAAAGATAGGGGATACTTTGCCATGGCAGAGCTGTCAGGACTAGCATCCCACGTCAGGGGTCTATCTTTGATGAAAAGAGATAGCGCCTGCACCCAAGCAGGAGGAGGGAGGCGATAGAGGAGCGCCTGTGGCAGCCAGGGCATAAAAGGAGACCAAGAAAAAGGAAGGAATCTTCGGAGCATCCCTTGTCCCAGCCCCGGGGACTGAAGCATAGAAGTACCATCTTGCTGGGGGTGTGGCTTCTTTTAGTAGCACATGACCGAGGAACCGGACTGCCCAAGGCCAAGCATCAAAGCCAGCTGAGCACCTGTGTCATCACCCATGCTGACCTAACTTTGACACTGGTCAGCATCAGCACCCGTTCAAAATGGTCGAGGCAGTTGAAGTGGTACCAGCAGGTGGAAAAGAGCCAGCATCCAGGAAGCAAGGGCCAGGGAGCTGGGCAGGAGTAGAGAGAAACTAAGCCTAGCCAGGACTGCATCTTGAACCCTTGAGCGAGAAGGCTGAGAACTTGGGGAAGGGCAAGGGGTGAAGGGAACCACCCTGCTAGGAATGGAAGGGTGGGGACCATCCCTCATGGGATCTGGGCTCAAGGCTAGAGAGCCAGTGTATATCGTTCTGGAATAAATACTGTTTAGCTGCTGCTTGAATGGCTGTCCCATGTCCTGATGGCCACCTGAAAGGGCTCTTTGACGCTCCCTCACTTATGGATGGTTTACAGAATACACTGGATATGGACTGTTTTCTCTGTCTGCAAGTTTTAAAAAAGGAAGACAGTTCATAACATTGTATTCCATGTTTGGCCACATTTGAAGATTGGTACAGAACTTCACTCGTACAAAATGTCTGTCTGTTTATTTATGGCTGTGGCTCAGTTTAGCTGTATTACATCTGTTCTGTAACATTTGCACTGGTGGTTTATGAGTCCATTTGAGTGTGCAGGCTTTGACCTTTTAAAGCAGTGATGGGGTTCCTTTGCCTCTACAAATGTCATTGGATTTCAGATCCCGTTATCTTTTGGTGTTGACAAGGCTGGCTAGAGATGGAGGGAGTTGTTCCCAGAAATTCTTGGTTTGGAGTTGTGGATGCTCTCCACCAGGGAATGACTTTTGATTTTCTTGATCTCTTTTCAGAAACATGTAAAAATATTTAACTGAGGCTTTAGGAATTAACATGAATCTATTGCAGATCTGTTTTTGGCTGTCCAGATTCACTGTAGATGTATATCTGTGAAATGATTTAGAAATATTGCTCTTAAAAGGACCCATACCATCTTCATATCACTACAGTTTCCAGTAAATTTCTTAAAGAGATATTTGTGCACAAATTCAGTTGTCACCAATGAAGTGTAAAGAAATTATTATTTTTTAAAATATATTTTTACCCCACCTTTTTTCCTTAAAAGTACCCAAATTAAAGGGAGAATGCAAATGGGAATGAGCCCTACATAATCATATATAGGATATCAATGTTGTATGACCAGGAACTATCAATGCAGTTCAAAATTTGTAAATCGGGCATATGAATCAAGGTGTAGCAAATCCCAAATGTGTTGATATAGTAGTGACTTCTGTAGATTAACGGAAAGGACAAACTCAACATAAGATTAGATAGTAAAGGGAGGGAAGCAGACCAAAGAGAAATATGGGATAACTGGATCAAGAGATGCAGTCACCTTAGTTGAGCATCAATGGTTCTTTTTGGCTTAGAAATGTATACGTATTTGTTTTCCATACAGTGGTATCTTGCAAGACGATTACCCCTCAAAACAATGAATCCGCATGAGACGAGGTTTTGCGACCACCATTTTGCTTTGCAAAACAATGATTCCTATGGGGGAATTTCACTGGACGACGATTTAGCAAGACATTTGCGGACCATTTTTTAGCAAGACGACGATTTTTACAGCTGATCGTCGGCTTTGCAAAATAGCTTCCCTAGGGGTGATCTTGGCAAAACGGGTGTTTTCGGGACCATGTTTGCAAGACAGCGATTTAAAACAGCTGATCAGCGCTTCGCAAAGCGGCTTCCCTATGGGCGATTTTTGTTGGACGATGATGATTTTTCCCCATTGGCATGCATTAAACGGGTTTCAATGCATTCCAATGGGGAAACGCTTTTCGCTAGATGATGATTTCACAAGACAGTGATTTCTATGGAACAGATTATTGCCTAGCGAGGCACCACTGTATTTCAGAGACATATATTCACACACTATTTTATGTTGTCATGTTTCTAATGTTGAAATTATGAAAAATGCAGTCCTTGTGTGTGGCATCCTTATGTCCATTCCGTCTTAATTTTCTAGGTTGGCCACCTCATAGAACTCTGCGGGGTCATCGCAACAAAGTCACCTGTTTGCTGTATCCTCACCAGGTTTCTTCTCGTTATGACCAAAGATACTTGGTCTCAGGTGGTGTAGATTTTTCTGTTATAATCTGGGACATCTTTTCTGGAGAAATGAAGCACATCTTTTGTGTGCATGGTGGAGAAATCACACAACTTTTGGTGCCTCCAGAAAATTGCAGTGTAAGTTGAAGGATGTCTGCTTCATGCATGCCCTTGCTAACTGACCCATCAAATCTAATATCTTCATTTATCTGCCTTTATGCAATTTTTTTTGGCCGAACACTTAATGTACTGATTGATTAGTGTATGTTAATGACGGAGTTATGTTATAACTTCTGTTTATAACTGGTTAAAACTCTCTTAAAACTGGTTAAGGACATTTTTTTAAAAAACTGCTTTTAAAGGCGAAACACCTTTTAAAGGGAACTTGCTAATGGTAGGAATACGGTTAGCTAAAACACAGTTTTAATATTAATCAAGATATGGTCAAGATGTGCTCTGTGGCCAATGTGGTCATTGACAATTAAAACTGAAGATGAATTGAAACATTCTTGAGATTACCAATGTGTGGACCAATGTTGTCAGGGATTTCCTCTCCAGGTTGAGGTGTGGCTGGGAGATCCCCCCAAATTGGAAGAACGCTGGTCTACCTCAGCAGATAGTTGGTGTTCATATGAGAGTGTCAAGTGAAAGAGCACCCCCAAATTTTATACTTTTGGGAGGATGTTGCTGGATAGCTCAGTGGTTTCAGCAGAGGTTGGAGGTTCAATTCCCCACTGTGCCTCCTTACGTAAAACTAGTATCTGCTATATAATGCTAGTCAGTACTTTTATAATTTTGATTGACTGTGCCTGGTGCTTTTGAATAATAACAGTAACAATAACAATAATAACAATAACAATAATTTCCTTTATATATACTGCCCAGATTAGCAATGTCTACTAAGTCGGGTGGTATAATAGCTGTATATATCTACACTCTCTCTCTCTCTCCCCTACATACGCATGCATGCATGCACACACGCACACACAGACACACACACACACAGAATGATGCATGCACACACACACACACATACACATACACACAGAATCAAAAAGGATATACCGTATTTTTCTGTGTATAAGACGTTACTTTTTCCTAAAATCATTACATTAAAAATTGAGGTGTGTCTTATAGTAATCAGAGATAGCAGAGGAGAGAACAAAATGGTCTGTACCATGCCTGTGTAAACAGGCTTCCTTCAGTCACGAGGCTTAGCTACACACACACACATACACATACACACAGAATCAAAAAGGATATACCGTATTTTTCTGTGTATAAGACGTTACTTTTTCCTAAAATCATTACATTAAAAATTGAGGTGTGTCTTATAGTAATCAGAGATAGCAGAGGAGAGAACAAAATGGTCTGTACCATGCCTGTGTAAACAGGCTTCCTTCAGTCACGAGGCTTAGCTTCCTACAGTCAGGAGACTTAGTTTCATCCAATCACAAGCCTTATGGAAGTAACATCAGCTGATGCTGTACAAACCAATTGGAACACACCTCATTGGAGGTAGAGCCTGTAGGCTCAGATGCAACAGAGACTCCTAATGTCCAAGTGTTCTGAGCCCAGAGACTGAATACTCAAAGCTAAGTTTTCTTAATTTGGAGGTTAGAAAAGGCGGGACATCTTATAAATGGGGGCATGTTATAAATGGAAAAATACAGTATGTACTTTTTTTGGCAAGTGCTTTTAGAATAAGTATCTGTCAGTATTTCTAAAAGCCTGCCTGCCTATGTGGCCTCCATAGTCAGCACTGAACAAAATTTGATGCAATTAGGAAATTGTAACTTCCAGAAGCAAGAGAAAAGGCTTAGACTGGGAGAAAAGGAGGAAGAGAAGATTCCAAAATCAGCTGATGGATTAATGGCATAGATGGGTTGTGATGTTGGGTTTTGTTGATTCATTCCCAGATTGGACTACATTGTGCTGAACAGTTAAAATCTCCAATTACTTAGTGATTTCACTGGCTGACAAATAGATTGTTTCTTTTAAATTGCCAATATCTGAATATTTCTGCAACAAAGGAAGGCAATGTGAACTTCCTAGGGACATCGTGGAAATTCAGGGGCCATGGCCCCATGATGGAGCACATTTATTGAAAGTACAAGGTACCAAGTTCAGTCCCCAGCATCTCCAGGTGGGACTCAGAAAGAAAAGATTGAACTATGTTGAGTGAAATAACTAGAATTCAAACTCTTATCTGCCTTCTGCTCAAAAGTTCAAGGGTTTCTTACGATCTCCAACTATACATCAAATAAATCAAATAGTTTACAGTGGTGCCTCGCTAGACGACGATAATCCGTTCCACTGAAATCACTATCTAGCGAAATCATTGTCTAGCAAAAAGCAAATCGTTGTCTAGTGAAAATCGGTTTGCAAAGCAGGGACCAAACATTGTCCAGCGAAATTCCCCCATAGGAATCACTGTTTTGCGAATCGCTATAGGGATCGCAAAAAGTCAATGTCTAGCGAAAAAACTGTCATGCGGGGTAACTGTCTAGCGAGGCACCACTGTACTTAATGAAGCAGGCAGGATTGTTTGAAGGATGTGATAAACCTAATGACAGAAATAAATAGAATAACTGGACAATGTTTTCTCGTTTTCAGTCAAGAGTTCAGCACTGTGTTTGCTCTGTGGCCAGTGACCATTCAGTAGGACTTCTGAGTTTGCGAGAGAAAAAGTGCATAATGTTAGCTTCGCGACACCTCTTTCCTATTCAAGTCATAAAGTGGAGACCATCAGATGACTACCTAGTTGTTGGCTGTTCTGATGGCTCTGTATACGTGTGGCAGATGGATACTGGTAAGATTAATGGTGTAAGAAGTTATTTAATATTTCCACATTTTCTGGCCAAGAAAAGGGTTTGCTTAATACCACTGTCTAATTTTATGAAGGGCCTATCACTCTTGTACTTTTCTTTCAAAGGCATTTCTGGCTTATCAACAAGCCAATTGGATTTGGTATTTTTTGGATTTTTTGTATGCAATGAAAGTAGAATAGCTGGCATCAGAAATATTGGTGTGTTTCTTTTAATTCTCTTGTTAACCGAAATGGGGGATTGGAGAACATGTGGATTCAAGGAACAGGTTTTTTAAACTATTTTTTAAGAAACCCTCCAAAATACAGGCGTATCTCGGTTTATGAATGTAATGCGTTCTGCGGGATATTACGTAATGCGAAAAATTCATAAACCAAAACATGGATTGCCACAGGAATGGTGGCATCGCTATAAACCTCCAGGCACAATGCATTCTGGGGAAACTTCCTTCGTACAGTGGAAAAAACCACACACACACACACACACAGAGGTCACTTCTGCTCACACACACACACACACACACAGGTCACTTCTGCAATGGGGCTTTCCCAACCACTGCAGTTCCTCATAGTTTGGAAAGCTTGGGGACCTTCTTGACCAGCACAGCTAAAATGTAGGGTGACAGTGGGTGAAGGAAAGAATCTTTAGAAAGCAAATGGGACCCAATTTGTGCTAATGCATATCTGGAATATAAACTTTAAACCAGATTTCACAGATTTTACAAATATATTGGTACTCTGTCCCATCTGTGACTATTACGTTGGCCTAATAAAAGTATTAGTCTACTAGAGGTCAACATTCTGTTGTGTGTTTTTTTTGTAAGTATGTGCAATGGCTTGTTGCATGTAATGTTGTCTTTTTATGTTAGTACCCCTTTGCTCATGAATAAGGCCTGCTCTTTTTAATGGGGTGACCTCCAGCTGGTGTAACTGCAAGAAGGAGATTACTGGAGAAATCATGGAGTGTCCTTACAATGCATTTACATGTTTTCTAACAGGATTCTGCACGATGCGAAATGTACCCCTTGGCCAATACAGCTACCTTTACTGACACATCTAAATATTTCATTTGCACCCAAATATATTGAACTGAAAAAGGAGGTCCTCTCTGATCCAAGAGCAAAAACTTTCTATTTTAGCCTTTGTTACTTTGTTCAGGAATAAAAAAAATTATCTGTACACACTATGTCCCTTTCCTGTTCTTAGCTAATATGGAGCATATTCTCAATAATAATAGGGAGAGAAGGAAAGTCTCTAGCAAACATGTGTAAGTAATGATTTCTAAAGTCTAGTTGAAAACTCTTCCAGGCTAAGAAAACATCAGTTTTCATACATCCTACTCTCAATTTTTTTCCCCGGTCAGACTGCTGGCTTTCTAGGCTCTTTTTCCAATATGTGAAGGTTTTAGAGCTCTCCAAGGAGATACGTGCTGAGCAGACCGAGGGCTGACAGATATTCACTGTGCTCCACCGCCTTTTATTCGAGCAAACTGCTTCTGGTTTTGACTTGGAACAGAAGCCTTCAGCGACATGGCAGTTGCTTTATCAGAAAAGCTGGAGATTGATTTTTGTGTGGCACAGTTGATTGAAGCCAAATTATGAGTATTTACTGCTGGTAAAAGTGGCTTTTCAGATAACAGCCCTTCTTGAGAGGTGGTACATCTTTTTACCACGGTGATTCCTGGCTTGAGTGACTAATTGTGGCATTGTTAACAGCAAAAGAAGAAACATAACCATGTAAGCCACGAGCAAACCCCAAAGTCAGGGTTGGCTAATTCCACAGTTGGTCCATTAAAATTTAAAAGGCAACTGCAAGCTTGCAGGTTCCTTCAGGATGAATGTTCTTATTGCAGTTCATTCATGTTGTTGTTCATACAGGGTATTATTATCTTGTGGAAAAAAGGGAGAGCAAGAAATAGGTTGCTAAATTTTTAAAAGTTACTTTGCTCCTTTTGTAATATTTGTGTCCTTACCTGAACCAGCTGCTGCGGAACTGTGACCTCCGTAAAGTTTAAGTGATTTCTTCTCTAGACACTTTCTCTCCACCCTTTATCTTCTTCTCAAGGGGCCCTTGACCGCTGTGTAATGGGAATAACAGCCGTTGAGATCCTGAATGCTTGCGATGAGGCTGTGCCGGCCGCAGTCGATTCCCTCAGTCATCCTGCCGTCAACTTAAAACAGGCCATGACCAGACGTAGCCTTGCTGCATTGAAAAATGTGGCCCACCAGAAGCTGCAGACTCTCGCCACCAACCTGTTGGCTTCCGATTCATCTGATAAAGTAAGTGTCTTAGTTTATTCCTTTAAATTGCACAGTGGATTGCTTTTGAGCAATGCATTGCAATGAGATCCCTCTCATGATATGTTGTGTGCAAAGGGAGGACCGATAGGTTTCGAAAAATCTATGAAGTGGTGGTTAGTGCAGAGATGAAACACAAAGGTATGCAGTCCTATTCCATCTGCACCTCATCCCGTTCTGTGGGTACCCAGCTCAGTCGTCTCAGCTGGATATGTGTGTATAATACTTTCCTCTTTTACTGCACCAATTTCCCCTATTCAGGGCCTATTTCTTCTCCTCTCCCTTGCAAAGCAAATAGTTTCCGTTTATTTATGTGAGAAATAGTAACAAGGGTATGTTAAAGGGCACTGTCATGTGAAGTTAAAGCTGCCTCCTTTTGGTGAATTTGTCCCATCCCAACTGTATTGTGGATTTTGGTCACTTGTTTTATCCCAACCAATTATTTTGGCCCTTATCAACATAATCTTGCCCTGTGGGTTGACTGAGACATTAAGAGGACATCAGGATTTCCTCACAACACCCCACAAGATTTCCTCAAAGATGAGTGCTTCAGCAGGAAAATATGCAAATTACGCCCATGTTTACCTTTCTTTGAGCAGTCACAAAACAAAACACATCAAATGCAAGATATGTCGTTTGTGAAAATCATGCTGTGGCAAACAGGGAGGACCTTTTCTAGAAACCTTTTTAGTGTGTCTTCTAGTCAGATCTTGTCTTGTAGTGAGGCAAAAGTATGAGAAGATGCTTTGGAACATGAGCTGCAGTCCAGCATTTTTCCTTTCTGTATATCAGATATATGTAACATAAATTTACAGGGTTTTTAACATTGTCTTTTAATCATTAATCATTTCCCAGATATATGTGCAGGAAGATGCTGATGGGTGACAATGCTTTTTCTTGACGTCCTGACTTTCTAAATGCCTGTAGTTTACTTTTTTTTAAAAGCATGTAAACGGTGGATGTATCATTAATCATTTCCCAGATATATGTGCAGGAAGATGCTGATGGGTGACAATGCTTTTTCTTGACGTCCTGACTTTCTAAATGCCTGTAGTTTGCTTTTTTTTTAAAAGCATGTAAACGGTGGATTTTTTTATTTGTTTGTTTGTTTGTTTGTTTAAACAAACTTCTGTACTGCCCCATTAGTGTGAACATTTCTGGAAAACATGTAAAGGCATAATTACAAATCATACAGTACAAAAAACACAATATGCAATAAATATAATAAATATAATTTTAGGCCTGTCATTGCCTAAAATGAAAAAAAAAAAACCCACCACATTCATTTAAATAGAATTAAACAAATTTGAAATAAGTTTGAACATCACAGGTCGTAGTTAAAAGATTAGTAGAAGACAGCTTTATATAATTCTGTTTTAATTAACTTCCTAAAAACTGAGCGGGATGGCTCCTGCCAAACCACTGTAGAAAGCTTATCCCAGAGGGAAGGGGCCACAACCAAGGAAACATGATTTCTTGTGTGTTAGCTCTTACCACTTATTTTGTAAAAATGGGAAGGCTAGACATTGAAGAAAGCTGAGAAAAAGTATTAGCCATTTGAAATATGTTGGAGGCAAGCTTTACGAATAACATGGTCTGCTGGCAAGACAGATAGATAGGTACAGTGATGCACCGCATGACGACGATAATCCGTCCCATTGAAATAGCTGTTTAGCGAAATCGTCATCATACGAAATCCATTTCCCCATTGGAATGCATTGAAACCCGGTTTAATGCGTTCCAATGGGGAAAATACCTCGTTGTCCAGTGAAGATCGCCCACAGGGAAGCCATTTTGTGAGCGCCGATCAGCTGTTAAAATGGCTGTCCTGCTAAGCATGGGTCCTGAAAACACAGAGCAGCCATTTTACGAAGCCAACGATCAGCTGTAAAAATTGTCATCTTGCAAACAAACAGTTCGCGAAGCACTGACTTAATCAACGTCCACCGAAAATCCCCCATTGGAATGACTGTTATAGCAATCGCAAAAAGTCATTGTTATGCAGATTCATCGTTTAGCGGGGTCGTCGTCTTGCGAGGTACCACTGTACTAAATCAAATGAAGCTTGAAGTCTTATTAGAATCTGAAATGATGAAATGGAGGCTATAATACCTTGAAAGTACCGTACTGTGGGAAGAGAAGACTCCCTGGAAAATGCCACAATGCTAGGAAGCATGAAATGCCATAAGAAAAGAGAATGACCTAACACGAGATAGATGGATTGACTCAGTACAGGAAGCCACAGCTTGTCATTTGCAAAATCTTAATAGAAGGGCTGCTAATGACAGAACCTTTTGGATGTCCTTAATTCATTTGATAAGTGACTTGATGGCCCTTAGAAGTGAGAAAGTGAGCTAAAGATGACTTGAAGCAATGGGTGTTGCTCAGTTCTCATAGAAAACAATTATGTGAAGAGGCCTGCTGCATAGAGATTCTAGCTGCATGAAAAAATATACAGTATATCTAAAACTGGGCCATCAAAAGATGACTTGAAGCAATGGGTGTTGCTCAGTTCTCATAGAAAACAATTACGTGAAGAGGCCTGCTGAGTTCCTTCTCTGTACTTTCCTTACTGCGAGAACTAGTTCTGCCACTTTTCAGTAGAATTTCCTATCTGGCAGGTGAGGAGACATCTCTTTTGGCAGCAATGGTTTTTTGTTTTTGCTTATTATAAGGAGGAGCTACAGATTGGAGTAGATGGCAGATCACTGTTGTTTGTGTTGCGGTAAGATTTAGACAGAAAAAAACCTGTTCATCAAGGTACAGTATTTGGGGGAAACTGAACTTCACGGCATCAGGACTGGCCGGTGTAAAAGGGACAAAGTACCAGGTCCAGGTTTACAGCGTTCTGAGGAGAGTGGCCTAAGATTTGGAGAACTTGGGAGAATTGAAATAGAGAAGCTGAAATTTTAAACCATCAAACAGTTTGACATGGCTACTATTCCAGGTAGAGTTCCTGTTCACTTGCAAACTTTCAGGAACTTTAGCATTGACCATATGAATCCCCTGCTTCGTTTTTCTTGTCTACCTAACCCTATGCACTTGGCTTCCTCCTCCTTCCGCATTCCATTGGCTACCTCTGCCTTTTTGCAATTCCATGTTGAATGTTTCTTTATTTATTGCAAATATCAAGATGGGAACGGGGGTTTTATCATGGGAGGCGGCATGCATGCATGTTTCTGTCACGGAGCCCCTCCTCAGCAAAAGTGAGAATAATGAATGTGTTGCTTCAGGTGCCAGGTAGGTATTGTTTCTCAAACCAGTGTCCACTACCCATTAAATACGCCAGAATTAATTGGGCCCAATAATGCTGTTTTAAAAAGAGAGAGTAATAATTTTGGCAAGTCCCCAAACAAATGCAAACAAAACCCTGACAAATCCCACCTTTTCAGTTATATGCTAATCTTTCAACTGGATGCATGTTTCAACTGGATGCACTGGAACAGCTTGCCTCCCAATGTGGTGGGTGCCCCATTGCTGGAAATTTTCAAGAAAAGATTGGACAGCCATGGTATGAGGTCTCCTGCCTTGGGCGCAGGGGGTTGGACTAGAAGACCTCTAAGGTCCCTCCCAACCCTACAGCAATTTTATGATTCTATGTTAGTACTCACAGATGAAGAACTGCACAGTTTTAATTTCCATCTTGAATTCTGCTCACATATACTGTAGTATCCCAGCCCTGCAGAAGCTGGAACTGCCATACAGTAGGTTTCTATATGTCATTTGGGGAATCTTGCTCAGAACATCATAATAACCAGACTGCCGATAAAACGAAGTTATTCCGTTAAGCAATGTGTTCTGAGGCAGGCTGCTGCTCTGGATCAAGACAGGGAAGTCGCCCTTCTTTAGACAGTAGTCTTTAAATTCCAAGTCTCTTCCTAGGAAGGATGCATTTGCATGCTTTCGAACCACTAGGATTCTTTAGATAGTAGTCTTAAATTCCAGGTCTCTTCCTAGAAAGGAAAAAAACATTGTTGTGCTTTCTCCCCAGGCTCTCCCAGTTAGGAATTAAGTGACAGTTCTCTCCGTATGGGGTGGGTGCAGCCATTCACCAAGAGGGCTGTGTCCAGAAGATCTGCAGGATTAGGGTATTTGGAAGATTTCTGCTCTTGTTTATTGTTTTTAAAACAATGGAACAGAACAGAAAGATCAAAGCAAATATCGAAGAAAGGAGGTAGAGTTGGAGGATGCCACGACAGAGTTGCTTTCCTAGTTGATCTCCTGCACTGATCAAAAATGTCAGAATCTAGTGGGAGTTCAGGAATCAAGCAGAAGTGTTGTATCTTACAATTTTTACAGACATAGTGGCATTTAGAAATGAATACATTTCTTGGCTCTTCATTTTGGAAAGGAGTTTCTAATCTCATAAGGATGTGAAGATAGGCCTGAAAGGAAACAAGGGCAGAGGTCATCAATCCCCTGTCTGCGGACTGAGCTGGACTGGGCCACTGAGACAGGCCTCCCACTAACCCCAACGCACTCCCCTCCTCACAGCTGTTTTGTGCACACACATGCACGCCAGCATCCGATCACTGGGCCACTGAGACAGACCTCCCGCCCCCCCCACGCAATCCCCTCCTCACAGCTGTTTTGTGCACGCACATGCATGCCAGCACCGATCTGACTGCTCCCCCACCCCTTCACACATGCACCCCAGCGAAGGGGTGGGTGTGCGTGCAGGTGCTCTTGCGCATGCGCGAAGGGGTGGGGAAGTGCTCATGCTGGCATGCTCTCCCACCGCTTCGCTCATGTGCCTAAGAGCGCCTGCGTGAGTGCAGGGTGTGTGCCCCAGGCATGCTCTCCCACCGCTTCGCACATGTGCCTAAGAGCGCCTGCGTGAGTGCAGGGTGTGTGTGCACCGCCTTCCTCGGAGGCTCAACAGGTCCGCAGTCCCAAAAACGTTGGGGACTGCTGCATAAAGGGATATCATCATCCAGGAAACAGAACAGAGGTCCGCAGTCCCAAAAAGGTTGGGGACCGCTGCATAAAGGGATCTCATCATCCTTTCCAGGAAACAGATGCCTATGTTGTAAAATATATCTGTATCTTTTCACAACCATTTCAAGTCAGATGTGTACACGTTTTCATTCTCTGTGTACTAATAGGTATTTGGTTTTTTTTAGTGCTGTACATTCTGTGTACAAAATGATGCTCACCCTTGGACAATAGAGAGATGTCTTTAGTCACAAGGCAATTCTGTAATTATTACTAATTGGTTTTCAGTCCATTCCTATAGGAAATTTTGCTTCAACTTAAGAACGTTTCAACTTAAGAACACCATTCCAAAACGGATTAAGTTCTTAAGTAGAGGTTCCACTGTAGTTTCTATGGACGGAAAAGAGCAGATACGGATTAAATGGTTTTCAATGCATTCCTATGGGAAATGCAGATTCAACATAAGAACTTTTCAACTTGAGAACCACCTTCCAATACGGATTAAGTTCTTAAGTAGAGACCCCACTGTAATTATTAGTGGTTAACTGTATGAGTACACAGCTTGAAAACAATCTACTGTGGACTGATTATACTGAAAGGGCATGAAATGTTGACTAACTGCTGGGGGTGAATAGGAAGAATTATTCTGGGGAGGAAAGTGACTGTAGGGAATCCTGAATAGCAGCAATATAGTAATAGTAATCTTGTCCACATAATTTTGAAGCTTTCAGTAGCATAGTGTGGTGGTGCCTATGTGGTTATGATGTTGGTAAAACGATTTAGGACCATGTTGTCAAACATGAAAATACATTGACAGGTCCTGTTGTATTGTTTTGAGCAAAAGGTTGTGTTGTTTTCTTAGCAAGTTTTACAGTAGGACAGTAGAGGGCATCAGAGATCAATTTTTTGTTAAATTGATTTTTCCTTCCTTGGATTTTATGGCTGGCATTCATAAAACAGTGCAGTTTTATTTGCAATCCCACACTTGGTTATATAGATTTTAGCCCTGCTTAAAATCAATGAGACCCACGTGTGCAAAACTGGACGATGGGATTACTGCAGATTCTATTAACCCACTGTATTTCCAGTACTAGTTTGCTATCTTAGAGCTCAGTCTCCCACAAGGTGCCCAGTTGCTTTAAGAGGTTAACAGATTCAGTCAGAATATGCTCACAGTATTATCTCTTGAAAAATAAGACATTAAACTTAAAATAATGTTTTGCTCTTCTTAAACTGCTCAGGCAATGTGAACGTTCCATGCAATATCAGTGTCGCACAGGTAGAATGCTTAAGTTCCATAGTTTTAAGGTGGAGCATTTCCTATCATGTTCATGCCTTCCATCTTTATATCATGTTTGTCTTTTAATTCACTACAACATTAATTGAAGTAGTGAAACTATACTCTTTTTAATTTTCTCTAAATCTCACAAAATGTGGATGCTGATTTGACATGACTTCTTCTTTTAACTAATTAGGAATCCTGTCTTTCTAATTTTCTAAGTACCCAGACAATATGCCGAAAACTCTATCCCCTCACTTTTTGAGACCTTTTCAACAATTTTGTAGGTTAAATATTTAAAACTGAACAGAAATCATGTGAAAGCAAACTACAGCCACAACAGAAAACATAATCGAGAAATCGAGATACAAAGCAAGTTTTAGTAACAGCATTGAGGAAAATTAATGGAAAAACTTCCTAGATGAAAGTATTTTTTTACTTGAAAAGCAAACTGTGCTGGAGATGTTAGTAGACAAAACTCTTGTGAAGATTTCTAAAAAATAAGTTTTTTCTATTAATGGTGCTTTTTATTTTTTGCTCTAACAGAGAATACTTGAGTGGACAACAGAGCATGATATAAAAATTCTTTTAGTTGGTAAACAACATGTCTGCTTCTGTTATAGAAGTGGTCGTTTTGACCAGATAGGCAGGGTACAAATAGAATGAATGAATGAATGAATGAATGAATAGTCGAGTAGTAGATCATTTTAAACTTTTCTGAATAAGATACAGTAATTTGGATAAAAGACATGGAATAGGATCAAGCTGATACCTAGTGTTGAATGGAAAGGTCCTTCTATGGAAGGATTCCATTGTTACTGTCTTCCATTGGAAGCTCTCAGTGCCCTCCACACACGCAGTGAGAGAAGGAGAGAGAATTTATTTATTTATTATTTAAAATATTTTATCCCATCTTTCTCCTTAAAAAGGACTCGAGGCAGTCATTTTTATTTACATATTTGTGAAATACATTGTTTCTCCTCAGAATCCTTCAATCCTCAATTTGTAGACTGAACAAAAGCATGGGAAACTTACTTTTTTTGGTGATATGTCTTGAAATTTATCTCATATCTCTTCAAACAAAGACCCACCAAACAATTTGCATCATCTTTTCTGCCCCCACAATTGCCTTCTTTTAAAACAAGAAATTTCTGGTGGGGGAAGCAATGCAGCCACATGGCAGGCTCCGCCACAGAGCTGTGATTTAAAAAAAAGTTAGTTCCACCACAGGGGAAGATCAGTTTTAGTCCAGTCAGTCGGATTATGTGATGGATAATTTCTTCAACATGCAGTACCGCTAGACTGTGTTAAAATGCACATTGTTCTGCAGTAGAAGGTCCCCTAGTAGGACAAGAAAAGCTACAGATTAGGGGTGGGGGGGACTCCGAGATGATTTGTATTTCTTATTGCGTCATCTGATCGATGGGGGGAAATGCAAATCAGCCCACCTTGAACCTGTAGTGTTTTCCACAGTTATTGGTAATGTGATCACACCCTTAAACCAAAAGTACAACTGCAAATTGGACATCTGTCATAAGATACTGTATTCCAAGCCAGGAAAGCAGAAATCTTGTTGTCATTCCCACTGACCTTACACTTTTGAGTAGAAAGTATAGGTTGTTGTGGAGGCCTTCTTCAGATTTGCACTAGCACATTGAGAGGTATGTGAGACAAAAACTCTCAACTTTTCACTTTAACAGAAGACTTCAGCAAGCACCAATATTTATAAATATGTGGAAAATAAATTGGTATCTTCCAAAAAGATAAGGAATTGTTGGTCTACACCGTATTTATCATTTGCACACACATGACCATTTTTCCTGTATGGATTGATTTAATCCATGCCATGGGATTATTTATCTATCTTGACATAGGTCATGTTGCATGAAACTATGATGTGGTGGACATGTAGTAAACACATGCTTATTTACATTTGAAAATGAATGGGGAAAAATATAAGCTCAAAGTCTTTTTCAAAAATATGTAATAATCCTACCTCAGTGTTTTTAATTGTTTCTCAGTGTTAAGCTTTTCACATTTTAAATAGCACCATAGCTTAAAAAATTCACATTTCATGTTTTTGCAATGTTTTGACTCTTCAGGTTTTCTTGTGAAGGATAATGCTGTTACATTATGCACAGGACCCATGGTGTAAAAGCCTAAGAAGTAGTTTTATTCTGTTTGTTTCAGGGAAATTTGCCTAAATACTCTCACAATGCTCTGATGGTTCAGGCCCTGAAGACTAACTTGACAGACCCAGATGTCCACGTACTTTTCTTTGATGTTGAAGCCCTGATTATTCAGCTGCTAACTGAAGAAGCCTCCAGGCCTAATACAGCCCTTATTTCCCCAGAGAATTTACAGAAAGCATCTGGCAGTTCTGACAAAGGGGGTTCCTTCCTGGCTGGCAAGCGAGCAGCAGTCTTGTTCCAGCAAGTCAAAGAAACAATCAAAGAGAACATAAAAGAACATCTTCTTGACGAGGATGATGACGATGAAGAATCGAGGCAGAGGAGAGAAGATAGTGACCCAGAGTATCGCTCCAGCAAATCTAAACCGTTAACACTCTTAGAATATAATCTGACCATGGATACAGCTAAACTGTTTATGTCATGCCTTCATGCTTGGGGCCTGAATAGTGTTCTAGATGAGCTTTGCAGTGACCGTCTGGGGATGTTGAGACCTCACTGTTCTGTCTCTTTTGGCTTGCTTTCAAGAGGAGGTCACATGTCTCTGATGCTTCCTGGATACAATCAGCCTATAGGCAAAATGACCTCTAGTGATGTGGAGATAGGAAAATCTGTAGCTCTCACAGAGGGGCATATCAGGGGTACGTACGGCATATCACGTGCAGTAACTACTCAGCACCTCCTCTCCATAATTTCTTTGGCCAACACCTTGATGAGTATGACGAATGCAACATTTATTGGTGATCATATGAAGAAGGGGCCAGCCAGGTACTTTAACACCAAATTCATTGTACATATTTCATCATGTATTGCTCTCTCTCTCTCTCTCTCTCTCTCTCTCTCTCTCATCTCATCCCATTTCTGCAGCATATGCTTGTCTTTACAGCTGGTAAACTGCTTTGGTAAAGAACATCCCTGCGTGATCAACCTGGAATCTGATTTCATTCTTATACTTTCCTTTTAAGCTTGTTTGAAAGTGAGGATTTTTCTGTATGCACTTGGGTCCCATTTTGGGGTGGCATTTCAATCAAATAATGTTTTTAAAATAAAATTTCAAATAGGTAAAGTTATGGTATACAGATAGTTCATAAAATGAAATTCCGCATGGTTGCTGTTGAGTTATTGGACAGGTTACAAGCCATTGACCATCATTCTTATGTGATTTTTAAAGACAATGTTTATTTAATTCTTTTAAAATATTCAAATAATTTACTTAGCTTTCAAATATTGTTTTCCTTAATGATGTAAGCCACCTTGTGTCTTTTCTTAGAAGAAAGGTGGGGTGAAAATATTTTAAATAAAAGTAAATAAATAAATAGTACCTTGATGAAATACAATGAAAAACCTGTTGAGAACCAAGGTAAGAGTCTTCATTTGCCTTGCATGTCAGATCCACAGAGGATTCCAGGGCCGCGGATGGAAGGCAGAAAGAGGGTAAAGTGTTTGCCAGGAATAAAAAGAAATAAAGGATATGTGGAATAAAAAAAGAAAGAAAGAGCAGGGGTGTGGAATGGTGATGTATGAGTTGGGAGAAGCGTTCAGGAAGATGTGTAGAGAGCTCTGATATATGTACCTGTCTGCATGTGTGTGTACAGTATGTTCTCATTGTTAAGTTACAAAGTGTGGAGCATCAACCAACCTTAAGCTTCCTTAATTCTAAATTATTTTATTTGTAGACCACCTAGACCAGGAACTCCTGAGCTTACCAAAGTGAAGACTCCTGCACCAGTTCCTAGTCCAACTGCTCAAGGCCTGATTAAACAAGGTAATATCCAGGCTCTTGGGGTGACCGATCACTTGTACTCTCAGAAATAGTTCTGATGATACCTTTTTCTTTTTGAGTTTGTAGCTGCAAACGTTAAGACATGAGATCTGAATTTAGATTAAAGCTTAAGATGTAGTGGTTAAGAACACAATTTCTTGTGATGAAGTTGAAAACCATAATTTTAAGAGATGCCACGTTTTGAAGTTGAGTTTGAAGCTGAAGTCTATGGGTGCATAGTCTTCTGAGTCCACAAAACCTATGTTTTTTCTCTTGGCCTTTCAGGTACATTATAGTCATGTACATTCTAGCTACTACACCTTGGACCATCCTTTGACATCTGATGACAGTTATAGATTTTGAAGTAGCTTCAGTTGTGTGTTAAACCCAAGCTTTATATTTCCATATGAGGGGCTGATGGATGGCAGCTCAGTTCTTGTCTGTTCATTTGGCAGTTAGCAGGGTCTGGTGGAAGGCTACAGCTACCCTGGGCTTGTGATCAGTTTCACAAAAGGTCTGATCCTAAATAGATGATGAAAATTGGAGTGGTTATAATTTATATCATTAGCATATCATAAATGGAAAAAATGCTGTATTCACTCTGATACGTACAAACTGTTAAACTCCTCATTCTTATCCGGTATAACTGATCTCTGTAGAACTGTTCTCTCTGATGTTCAAAGCTAATGATTTGTTTGGGCCCTGGAATTTCTATGATTCTTGCAATGAGTTCAGCTTTCCTGAAAGCGTAGTAGGTATCCACTGAAGTTGGCAGGTGGATTGGTGGGAAATCTCACCTGTTTATATAACCTTGGATTACTAGTTCTTTGTTCTGTGCCTAGTACTACTCTTGTTCATCTTGCAATATAAGCAAGCCTTCCTGTGTGGAAGCTGTATAATTCTCTATCACTCATCTGTTAGAAGTTCTCTGTAGTCCTGCTAATTCATTCTGAACAGATATGAGTGCAGAATTTGGCTGCCTCTGGTAAAGGTAATGAGTTCATCACAACAGTTGAGGCTGTGTTAAAAATTCCACACTGTGCTGTAAATGTACAGTAAGAACAAGAATTTTTGTGTATGCTCAATTGACATTTCTAATATACAAGTTAGAAATGGGGGGAGGGAAATATGCTTTATGCAGGAGCTGCCCTAAATATAACAGCAGTTCTGTTGCTTTTTGTACACAAAAGTGGTATCTTCTGGGTACAGGATTTAATGTGAATCAGGGTTCTTCAGTGCTGGTTCTCTTTGGCCCCAACACTGGGTGGTTTCACAGGTTGTCCCCAGAGAGATTCAGGTAGCATAGAACACCATAAACATGCATTATTCAGCCCTTTCACAATCCAGGAGGTATACACACAGATGTATTTCTGTTTAAACATTCTATCCTACTCCCCTTTGTCTGGTGGCCAAGAGATAGGTGCTGTTTGTATCAAAGAAATGGATGGCAGCTCAGATCTTGTCTGTTCAGTTGGTAGTTTATTTAAAATATTGTTATCCCTCATTGGGTTCTTTTTTTAAGGAGAAAGGTGGGATAAAATATTTTAAATAAATAATTCAGTTACACCTTTCCGTTAAAATATTGTAGAGTTTTGCTTTTGATAATCAGGAAAATAGGGAGAGGCCCTACCTTGATATAATATTGTAATGGCATGACTAGTATCAATAACGTGCAACAAACTGTTGACATTTCCAGATACCAGGATTTGACATAGGTAAATCTTGAATGATAGCTTGGTTGTGAAATGATGCACAGGAGAAAGAAGCTGGAAAAGCAACAACATGGACATGGACAGCTGTAGAGTAGTCAACTGCTGTTTCCATGACATTGTGAAATCATTTTTTTCATCACATAGGGAGAGATTTAAAAAGTTGCCGTAATACTTGACCTGTTAAGTGAAAGTTTTCAGCGATTTTATATCCTTAATTTTAATGAACTTATGTTAAAGTAAACAACAGCAATGTTTTTCAGATCTTTGAAACTCGCCTACCCCTTTGTTACACTGTTCCCCCAAAAATCCTAAGGAAGCCTAGGAACTTTGGGTGGAGGCGGGGGGAGGCATAGGAAACGTTCTTTTAAAAGAAAACTGCCATGATTGATGATGTCGTCAGACTTACACAATATAACTTTATGTTACTTGATTTCACTTATTGCATCTTTCTAAGGCCTTAACTTTGTTACTTTTAGAGCAGTTAACACACATCAGAGAAACGTTGAATAAAATCAGTTCATTTTCAGATTTGAGTGCTACTGGCCGATCAAGCCAGCTGTTGTTACTTTCAGTTACAATGATTGATATAAATAATGACAGCCAGAGAGACTTTCCCCCCCACTCCCTGCACCAAAAACAATGCTTAAATAGCAAATGGCAAATATAAAATTGGAATCTGCTTGTGAATATTTGGAACACCCATGTACTTGTGATTCATTTACCAACTGTGGTGCGTTTGTTTTGTGTGCACACTTTTCAGTGCCCACAAAATACATGCTAGCTGGTTTACTGGTTTGCACGTGCCACCATGATGCATTATTGTAGAAATCATAGAAGTAAATTTGATGCAGATGTCCTAGAGTGACAAAAGAAGTTCACTGCATGAAAACCAAACATACCATTCAGGAAACAATGCTTAATCTTTTCTGGAGCCTGAACCTATTGTCGTTCTGCAATGGAATAAAGAAGAGGGATTAACTTGAAGATGCTTGTGCATGACATGTGGTAATTCTCTGCAAGAAGGAAGTGTCAGCTAGTGACCTCTAAATCTTAACATTGACCTCTGGTTGTAGAATGGTGTGTGCCATAAGGTCTGCCTGTCCTTTCGTATGATAATTTGATTCATGGAGCATTAGTGAAACTATAAAATTTATAGCTGCCTTCACATTAAAAAAATAAGAACCTCACCACAATTCTTAAAATGGCCATCGTAAAACATTAGAAGTTTTAATTTGGTGAAAACTATTGTGAGCAATAAACTTTTAAGTGGCTTCCTTATGAAAAGAGGTTGCAACACACACTAAATCAACCTCGTCGTGGTCTTCAGGAGGTTCGTTTTTCGGGTGTTTTATTCAGCCTCGCTTTGTAAAAAAAATAACTAATGGTCAAAACACAGAAAGCTAGGCATTCTTATTAAATACTATTGTTAATCCTATTAAATTTAACTGTCACGTCCAGCTAAAAAAGGAGTCCTGAATCACCTCGTAGCATGTACACAACACCAATACAGAATTCCTTAATTAATATAATAAAGTAAAATCTCTGCAAATTGTAATCAGTGCAATAAATAGAAATTCATGCCAGAAGAGTTTAATATTGAAACAAAACAATATTAGAAGTGTTTACTTGCAATGTACAAATCAACACTGAAATCTGCAATGAGTTCCACAGAAGCAGTTTATGCCATTGGGACTAAGAACCACATGCCTGGGGAAATAAATATGTTGTTGCCTAGCGATGAACAGATGAAAATGTCACTTGACAGGGCAGAGTGTTCCACAAACACAGGGCTACCACTGAAAAGGCTTATTCCTGAGCTGCCATCACTGAGGCTCTTTTCAGGTGGTTCACAGAGAAGGGTCGCAGCGGTGATCATGTGGATGGCTATATTTAGGTTCGTTGAGATTATAAGTATATACAGTTTTGATGGCACCTATGGTACTGCCTGTACTGTGGATGATTGGGACCACGGTTGCGATCCAATTCTAAAGTGCCCTCCGTTACTTAATGCAGAATTAGTGCAAGTAATGTTTTTTGACACAGTCCACGCAACCGGATTGCGTGGGGTCACGAAGAGTCGGACACGACTTAACGACTAAACAACAGCAACGCAACCAAATTATCTTTCTGTGTTTCTATAATTGACTTGTTTTTTTCTGTCATTAGCACACTTCTTGAAAGGTCCTTATGTGGTAATTGTTTCAGTTAATGTAGTCCCAGAGAATTCTGGTTTTCTTCATTCTTTAATAGTACTAACCATTTTTTTTCTTTCTGGAAACGTCTGTCTTCATTTTCCTCTTTATTTCTTCTTTCCTGCTCAAGTTGCTCCTGCTGTTTCTGCTAGCACTGAAGCTGATCACTCTGGCTCTGACCCTGCTCCTCCTTTACATACCTGTTTCTTAGTAAATGAAGGTATTCTCACCTCTGTTTCTATCTACTTTGCCTTTTTTTCTCCTTTTAACTAACTTGCTCTTTCATCGTTGTTACATGCCTCTTTTAATCTATGCTTTCATTCACTGTGCAATTGGAGGACAAGCTTCACTTAGCAACCTTTATTTTCTTCTAATGATTAGTTTTAATTCATTTTCACTGCCTTTGGGGCAGACCTAGCCTCCTTTAAGTGGTGACTGTACATCACTTAAACAACTAGCTTATCTGACTGGCAAAGAAATTTATATTTAATGTATGAAGATCGGTAAGTTCAGTTTGTCACTCTTCTTTCACCTGGGGGAGAACAACTCCGTCTTCTTAATATCCTGACTGCATAAGGATGCGGAACACATATCCCCAATCTCACTTGTAAGCTGAGAGGGTGTTTAGTGGCATAAAGAAAACCTAGTATCTTTTGTTAGTAACTTTACTACTACCCTGTTTCCCCGAAAATAAGACCTAACCTGAAAATAAACCCTCGTATGATTTTCAGGATGCTCCTCAAAATAAGCCCCAGAGAGGTGAAACCCCACCCTCCATCATTGTGCAGCAACCAGAAGAAGATGACATGACTGTATTTGAATAAATGTGGCGGCATGGACATGAAAAAAATAAAACATCCCCTGAAAATAAACCCTAATACTAATTTTGGAGCAAAAATTAATATAATTGTGGCCTGTCTTATTTTTGGGGAAACAGGGTAATAAAAATTAGCAGAAACGAAACTTTGTGGAAGTTTCTCTGATACAGGATTGTAATGCACATTTTGTCTTTTAGAAGAACTTCAGGCAATGTGCAGTTACTAGATTGTGACTTTTGACAATTACAAGTATATAAAGTGTGTAGATTTTACTGCTGTCAGTTTGTCCCCACCTGTGTTTGCCTGCTGGTGGAATGGATAAAACTTGCAGTATTTTCCACTTCCCTGTACACTTCCAGATATGCTTTGCAGAGTTGAGGGACCTTCTACAGTTGATTTAGGGGATGGGGATATACTGGAAGGAACAGGAAGGAGACAGTCATGTGATATTGCACAAATGGAAGTCCATGCATGTGACACTGGATATCGCTGGCCTTTTTTGGCAGCTTTTAGCAATCTGTGAACCTTTAGTTGTATTAATCCAAATATTACTTAGCTTTGGATGGTACTATTTGTTGTTCAACACATCTGGAGGTCTCCAGATTGTTGGAAGCTGATTTCTGGGTTGATTTTAATTCTTTGTGTAAATTCTTCCTAAATTCAGTGTCAGTTTGTCTGTTACTGCAGGGGTCCCCAACCCCCAGTCCGTGACCTTGCACCAGTCCGTGGCCCAGGCAGGACCGGGCCGCGGACACAGATCTCCTACGCCCCTGCAAGCGCTCCCCGTGAGCCCTCCCAGCGCATGTGCGTGAGCGTGCCGTGCCCCACACTCATGCACATGAGCATGCCACACACCCCAACCAGTTGGGGGCCACTGTACAGGAAAAAATTTTGTGGCCCCCAAGACTCGCACTACAACATTTTTGTTATGTTTTGACTGACACTACAGGGTGGAAGGAGGTGTTTCATTTTTAAAAGTTTTCAGAATGTAATCCCATTTTCAGTTAAAATAAGTACAGTGTTAACAACTTTTACGGTAAATAGACACTGCTTTGATTTATTAAAAAGTAGTAATAAATAAATAAATAAATAAATAAATAAATAAATAAATAAATAAATAAATAAATAAATAAATAAATAAATAAA